AAAAAAAAAAAAAAGAAAAAAAGGAACGCTTCCGAACGTAACGACAGAGGGTTAAGAAATATACGGTGTACAATGAAAATTTATCACCGGCGGCTTTCAAACTTATTTAGCGAGTATGATGCGTGATGCAGCGGTCCTGTCGTTGCACCTGCACACCGCCGGCATGCCGATGACGTTACGATGAAATACACGGGCCGCGTTTCGTACAATAACGGCAAGTAATAGTACGAACGTTCTGATTCGCGGTCCGCCGGTTTCAAAGACTTTATTCGCGAGACACGGTTACGATTTATCACTCTTTTGTCTTTCGACCGCATTGAACCTGCTGCCTGCATCCTCTTTCCACGTCGCAGAACTGCCGAGCCTGCGGCAAGAAAAATGTCTCCTGTATTTTAAATGTCTCCTCGTGTGTACGCTTGCTTTCTCTAACGTCTGTTAACGTGTGGCAATATATATGCGCAGGTCTGCTTGATTAAATTATTAGGTTCCATTAATTCTTGCTGTTGTTATCGGAGAAAATATAATAATTAAGAAATATGGCGGCAGAAGTGCAGCGAAGATGCTGCTCTCATTCATTGAAAAAATATTCTAAACAGATGTTCTTCGTTTGATCCAACGTGTACATATCTGTGGTAATATGTCATAGGTTTGTTTATGTCTTTTCGTATAGGTTAATTAAATTATTAAGTTTAAAGTTTATTTTTGACGGTGAGGAAATATAGCTGAAAGAAATTTTTCTCTAGAAGTGCGGTGAATTCTGTCCGATCTAATGTGTAACGTTTGGTTATGTTTGACGTAACTGAATTAAATATTAAATTCAGTTTATTTTCTTACATAAGATGAGAAAATATAGTTGAGAAAAATTCATATGGTTTCTACCGTGGAAAATAGGTTAACTTGTCTTTTACTTTGCTTTTAATTCTTCATTTGAATCTTCATTTAAAGACTGAATAAGTCCTCCAGGCTATTATATGACAGTTATTATTATGTATAATGGTATAACTATACTAAATAACAAATTTTGACTGCTACTAATCAGAATATGACCGTCTTCTGTACCTTCTGTAATATTTCGTGAGTAAAATAATTTTCCATCGTGACCATAGTTTATATTCTCAAAAATCTGAAAATCCGCCGTCTAATAATAACCCTAAAATCAACTATTCGCAAGAACGTGTTACTATGTCAAATTCTGAGTCATCCAATTGTAATAAATCACGATGTTACTATTTTCATACGTCAGAGTATAAAAATTACACGAAAAAATTCTTTTTTAATTTTAATAATACCTTTAACACACTTGATCAATTTACTTGTTGATTCTATAAGAAGATGAATGTATATACACATTCTACGTAAACATATTTTATTATTTAAGAAGATTAACTCATACGGTACGTGTGATATTTCTTTCCTCAATTTGAAACAAACGACATCGAATAGGACGTCGTGCGCGCGTCTTCAGATTCGATGGGTTGGCTACTTCTAAAATAACGGTGTTCATCGTTTGAAAAAGAGCGAAAGCATCGGCAGAGAAGTTTCAGTGAACAATCCTAAATCGAATTAAATCGTGGCTTTGATCATTCGGCTTTCCTTACTTGTTTGTATTGTCCGTATTCCCTTTTAAGTATTTTATTTTTTCACGGATTCCGCTCCCGCGGACAGCGGCTCGCTCGCATCCACGTATCTGCGAATGAAATCGTAGACAAACCGTCAGACCTATTTGCTGGAAACTGCGCAAATACGAACGGGAAATAAAGTTTCATCAATACGTGTGTCACAACAATGCGTGCGATTCTTTGTGGCCCGAAAAACTTGTTTATGGCTCTTGACCTCGTTCGCGGGATTCTTCTTTCAGATTTGCAAGAACCGTTAAATTGTTCAAGCTTCGCCCGCGTTGTTCGCGCTTCGGTGTTTCCTATTTCCGAGTCTGTCGTTCGATTTCAATGAGAACGAACTTAATTGAGAA